CCTCCCCCCACCATTTTCCCCTCCCCATTGAAAAACCTCCATGTGGTGTACATTTATCTGATTCTGTTCGTGTTCTAGTTGTTTGCTTAGTTTTGTTTTCATTTTTTTAGGTTCAATTGTTGATAGTTGTGTTTATAATTTTAACTGTTCATAGTTTTTGTTCTTCTATTTGTTAGATAAGTCCCTCTAACATTTCATATAATAAGGGCTTGGTAATGATGAACTCCATTAACTTGACCTTATCTGGGAACCACTTTATCTAACCTTCCATTTTAAATGATAGCTTTCCTGCATAAGAGTAAACTTGGATGTAGGTCCTTGCCTTTCATGACTTCAAATACTTCTTTCCAGCACCTTCTTGCCTGGAAGGTTTCTTTTGAGAAATCAGCTGATAGCCTTAGGGGAACTCCTTCATAGGTAACTGTCTCCTTATCTCTTGCTGCTTTTAGGATTTTGTCTTTGTCTTTAATCTTGGGTAACTTAATGATAATGTGCCTTGGTATGTTCCTCTTTGGGTCTAATTTCTTTGAGATTCCCTGGGCTTCCTGGAAATCTATTTCTTTTGTCAGATTGGGGAAGTTGTCCTTCATTATTTTTATTTTTTAAAATAAGTTTTCAATTTCTTGCTCTTCCTCTTCTCCTTATGGCACCCCTATGATTCGGATGTTGGAGTGCTAATAGTTGTCCCAGACTTTCCTAAGCCTCTTCTCATTTTTTGAATTCTTGTTTTTTCATTCTATTCCAGTAGGATGTTTATTTATCCCTTTTGTTCCAAATCATTGATTTGAGTCCTCATTTCCTTCCCTTCACTGTTGGTTCCCTGCATATTTTGCTTTATTTCATTTGGGGTAGCCTTCGTTTGTTCCTTCATTTTGTGACTGCGCCCAATCAATTCTGTGAGCATCCTGATTACCAGTGTTTTGAACTTTGCATCAGATAGGTTGACTATCTCCTTGTCACTTAGCACCTTTCCTAGAGTTTTTATCTCTTGTTTCATTTGAGCTATAGTTCTTTCTCTTGGTGCACCTCCTATGCTGTTAAGGACAGAGTCTTAGACATTTGCCAGGGTGGGGCTACCCTCTTTGCTGCTGTTGTGGTGCTGTTTGTGGATGAGGGGTCAGAAAGGGAACAACACCACACACTTGCTCCTGTCTAGTCCCATTTGCCAACCAACTCTACTGTGAGACTGGACATTTCTGCCGCTTTCGCAACTCCCACAGGACTCTACATCCAGAAGATTTATTAAAATATTTTATTTATTTATCTTTTAGAGGGGAAGGGAAGGAGAGAGGGAGAGAAACATCAATGTATGGTTGCCTCTTGTGAGTCCCCTGCCAGGAACTGACCTGCAACCCAGGCATGTGCCCTGACTGGGAATCGAACTGCGATTGTGTGGTTCGCAGGCCCACGCTCAATCCACTGAGCTACACCAGCCAGGGCTTTACATCCAGAGGTTTTGAGTCTTTAGTTTCCCCGATCAGCCTGCCCCTGCCTTATTGATGGTCCTCTCCACCCATCTACCCATCTCTGCCCCTCTTACCATTCTGGATGAATGTTTTTTTTAACTTCTTGGCTGTCGGAGTTCCGTGCAGTCCTACTTTCTGGCAGTTCTGGTTGTTCATTGTTTTTAAATTGGTTGTTATCTTTTTTATATTTGGGGTGTGTGAGGAAATGAAACATTTCCATCTATGCCTCCATCTTAGCTGGAACTCTGGCACGGACAAATTTTTAACCCGTGAATCTCTGCTACCCTCCATATAAGTGAACTTGCCTGAACTCCTGCACAGATGCATTTAGATTCACTCAAAGCCAGGTCTTTCCTGTGGGGCAGGGACCAGACTAGAGACAGTGGGGGATCGTTAATTATTTTTTCTCTTTAAAATTTCACCTAATAAAAATAACTAAATAAAATTTAAAAAAAAAATTTCACCTAACATGTCCACCAAGGAACCATTTTTCATCTCCTAGGAGGATTCCAGGGTTGTTTTTTGTCTGTTTGTTTTAGAATTTGGCTTTGGTCAATGTTTGCTCCTCATCTAAAATTTGTGACCAGCTAAATAAGCTCTTTACTCAGTGGATTGAGTGTGGGCTTGTGGACCAAAAGATCATGGTTCAATTCCCAGTCAGGGCACATTCCTGGGTTGCAGGCCAGTTCCCAGCAGGGAATGCATGAGAGGCAATTATACATTAATATTTCTCTCCCTCTCTCCTTTCCTTCCCCCTCCAAAGATAGATAAATAAATAAATAAATAAATAAATAAATAAATAAATAAATAAACTCTTTCATCTGTGCATGTATTCGGCTCCCAGATTCAAATATGAATCCTATTAAAGTCTTGTTGCAAGCACTAGAGTGGCTTCATAAATCCTCTGTGTATCTTCGGGGTTCTATCCCAAGGCCCAGTAGGTTATAGGCACAATCAGACTCTACTCACTGCCCATTTGGAAAACAGAGAGTGTGTTGGAAAAGTTTCAAGAAGGGAAGACAAGGTATCTAAACATCAGGGTCTAAGGTAACACTTTCCACTTAAAGGTCTATGGCTATCATACTGGATCAAGGATGAGCTATGGGAGAGCAGGGGACTCCTGCATGGAGTAAGAAGCCTCTGTCAGGGCAAGGGCAGGAGATTCTGTGCAGCCTTCAGAGGAGGCAGCAGTGATGAGCATGTGGGCATATCGGGTTCCACTATTGGACAGGAGGGCACATGGGAGAAGAGCAGAGGAAGGGTACCTTCATGCAGGAAAATTCTGGGACTGAGCATAAATGCTGGGGATTTGACAATCCTCAGATTGTGTTTGATTCTCATTGCCACCTTCCTTCCATAGGCCTTGTTTTACTAACTGGGTCTCAGGGTCCTACTTTTTGTCATTCAAGAGATGTCATTCATAGTACTGAGAAGTGAAATGAACTTCGAGGTAGAAGATGAGCCAAGAATGGGATAGGTGGGGATATCATGGATTCTAGATAAATTCGGGTAAGGAGTCTAGTCTCCACCCTTCCACAACTATCCATGTGATCCTGGGAAAATTACCATGCCCCATTGATGTCAGATTCTTCACCTGTGAAGTAAGCTGGTTTGATAAGCCCTGTCTTGTAACACTTAAGAATGTATAGGGACTTCATAAATGCCTCACTCAGTGCTTGGTGTATATTGGAACGTTGATGAATGGCAGTTATTTTTAATATTGTTTTGATCCCAGTTCCTTCCATTCTCTCTTCTGACACTGTGTTTAGTTATCAAGTCATATTAGAGAATATGCACCTCAGTAAGGCATAGAATTCCCAATCAGCAAAAAAAAAAAAAAAAAAAAAGATGTTCCCTAAATAACACTCAGTAAATTTTCACAGTTAATGGATGTCTGTTCAAGTTCAGTTGTGGGGGAGCCTTCCCAGATGGATACAATACAAAGCTTCTAGAAAGAGTCAAATAACACTTTTCCTCCTTCCAAGCTGCTCTTACATCAAAAGAAACCCTTTAATTTATTTCATCCACATCTAAAATCTAGTCCTTACTAATAATTGACCAAATTACTCAAGTTTGAATGTTAATTACAACTTAAGTTTGAATGTTAATGATAACATTAACATTCAAACTTAACTCTGCTGTGGAATTTGAGTGTCCCAGTGCCCATCGAGTTACTCAATGCTCAGTAAACATAGTTCTGCAGAAATGTGTGGAAATGATGAATATAAAATTCCTAGTCTTGCCCTGGCTGGTGTAGCTCAGTGGATTGAGCATGGGCCTGCGAACCAGAGGATCATGGTTTGATTCCCAGTCAGGGCACAGGCCTGGGTTGCAGGCCAGTTCCCAGCAGGGGACCCATGAGAGGCAACCATACATTGATATTTCTCTCCTTCCCTTCCCCTCTAAACATAAATTAAAAAAAAACAACCTCCTAGTCTTTGTACTGTCCAATGACACTGGGACTGTGTGCAGAAAAATCTTTTTTCCTAACCAGGTGATTTCTCTTTTGTTCATCCATGATCCAATAAGAACTTCAGATAAATTCATTTCAGGCTTCTTCTCACTTTCAAGATGCATCATCTGCCACTGCTATCATCCATCTTCATTACAATCAACCACCACAGAGCCATTTACACTTGAGTGCACTCCCTTGGCACCCCTCCACCTTCCCGCTTCTTTTACCTGTTCTGTAGGACTCAGGGGACACCTCAACATTTTCCTCATGTGACTGTGGCTCTTACACTGTTATTCTGTGGGTGGGTGTGTCCTGCTTATACTAATGTCCCTCCCCCACTAACACTGGGCCATCCAGAAAATAAAGGCTCAGTGAATATCTACGGCAGGGGTCCCCAACCCCTGGGTTGTGGACCAGTACCAGTCCATTGCTTAACTTATTAAGAACCAGGCTGCAAAACAGAAGGTGAGTGGCAGGTGAGTGAGTGAAACTTCACTGACATTACCACTTGACCTCTGCCTCCTGTCCCCACTTCCCATCTGTGGAAAAATTGTCTTCAATGAAACCAATCACTGGTGCCAGAAAGGTCAGGGACCCCTTATTTAAGGTATAAATGAGTCAGTGAGAATACATTTTATTTATTACTGTTTATTTTTCTACATTATTGAATAAGCTAAGAAAATCCAGGTGTGTGTGCATATGTGTTTGTGTGTGTGTTACAGAATGAGAGACTAAAATACAAGAATTCAAAAATTGCCTATTTAATTTTTTTCTCTAGTTTACTAAGTTCTTTCACATTTTCAAAAAAAGAATCTTATTCCAATGCTATATTACCTTATTACAGACTACAAATAAAATGTAAGTTTTCTCAATTTGTTTTACAAAATAGCAAAACTCTTTTAGCCTGGATATGTCATTTGTAACCTGTCATTTTTTACTTAACCTGTGTCATTTATAAACTTAGGTTCTGAAGCTAATAGACATTCTACTTCAAGTCACATTTTAAAGTACCAAAAGAAGATATATTTCTAAGTCACCCCAATAGAACAGAAACACAAAAATATTATTCACTGTGACTCCTTCAGGCCCTGTCTGGCCCTCACTACATGGCACAAGAACTTGCACTGGCCATGGCAGTAGTATTATCTGTGGTATCAATTCTGGCCTGGTTTCTCTGTTCCTCATCTCTCAAAGCCTCCTCATACCAGTGTGGGAAGGATCTGGGGTCAGTCTCATTGATCTGGGCCAAAAACTCCAGGACTTTCATCTTGCTGGTTTCAGCGTGGGCCCTGGGACCCCACAGGAACTCATAGCATGCAGGATCACTGTTAGGCACTTGCCGGTACTCCAGATACTGTTCCTGCACCCACTCTTTGGTGATGAGCTCCCTGGGCTCCCCATACATGCAATGTTCCCTCCCAGCATGCAACCCCATTACATTTAATGCTTCCCATATCTTCTCTTCAGGTACACAATTACCCTCCACATAGATTATACTTAGGATAAATATCAGAAGGCCGGTCTTGGGCACACTATGCTCACTGCTCGCCATTCCATCATAGGTAAGGCCCAGTTTAGTGACTAGGACATAGGAGTGGTTGGTCGGGTCCACTTCCTTTACATCAATGCCATAAACCAGCTGCATGCACTCAAAGGCTTCACTAAAGATTACAGCAAAGTGGTTTTGGTACTCTTTGAGGATGCTACTTAGCATTTCTTCCTTTGTGGTCAGCTCCTTTCTGCGATACTTCAGGAGCAGGAACCTAACCAGATCAGCTACCTTATCATCAATCACGGATCTTGGCAAAACCTCTGTGTGTGGCAGGGCCTGAGAGGTACTTGGACCCTCCTCTTTTGGGCTGCTGGATTGGCTCAATGGAGTTGCAGTGGGAATGGAAGTGGTGGAGGGGCAGGCACTTGGAGGGCTCGGGGGAGGACTTGGTGTCCCAACAGCAGCACAAACTGCCTCTGGGGTACTAGGGGTACTTGAAACCAAAGGATAGGGAGAGGAAGAGGAGGAGGAAGAGAGAGGGAAAGAGGAGGAGCAGGTGGAAGAAGATGAGGAAGAATCCTCTTCCTCAGCCTCAGGAATCTGTGCATCCACATGGCCCTGTGCCTCCTTTTGGGGTGGAAGGTCTTCCTCAAGCATGTAGCGTTGACGTTTTGGAGCTCGTGGCATGATGACTTCGTGTCAGGCAGCCAAAGCAGTATGGGCAGGGGGTGCGTGATGGGAATCCACAGGCCTGGGACAGAGGGGAAGTGAAAGAGGCCTCAGGTGAGATGTATATCCTTGGCAGCTCTGACAAAGGTGACCTAAAGGTATCCTCTTTAGGGGTGTTTTTGGGCCTCACTGAGGTCTCTGCTCCTGAGTGGCTTGTCCCCTAAGATCCTGAAGGAGGAAGTCAGATGCTCAAGGTGCAGTTGTCACAGCCTGAGGTTCTGTGGCCTACAGTGGGGTGGGGTCGGGTGCTGTGGGGTCTCCCCTCTTCTGGCATGGAAGATACTCTAGAGACACATTCAGGGCAGGCACCTCACCTTGACTGCTGTCACCGCCTAGATCTTCTCAGCTCTGTGACTTGCGTTCATGTGCCTCAAATGAAAGCTTTTACCTCCTGGTTCCTAGAGCCCCTATAACAGGAAATGAGGAAGCACCTCAGAGTCCAAAGGGCATACATGAGCCTCCAGTGCTGACAAAAGAGGGGCCAATTAAGGGGAAAAAGGGGGAGGGATTTGGAAGAACAAATAGGAAGGACACAGGGACGAGAACTAAGGGGGGTGGAAATGGGAGGGAGGTGGGGAGCAAGGGGCGGGGGAGGCTGGGATGGGAAAAATAGACAAAAAACTGTACTTGAAAAATAACTAAATAAAATTAAAAAAAATAAATGCTATAGTTAAGAGGAAAAAAATAAAATAAAATCCACAATACTGCCAAGAAAAAAACAAACAAACAAACAAACAAAAAAAAACCAAAAGAGGGGCCAAGACTCTATGAGGTCCCCACTGCTCTGGGATAGATGGTCTCCTCTGTGATCACTCAGGGTCCTCACAATCCCTGGCAGGGTCTGTGACCTCCCCTTTGCTGCTCTGAGATGAAACTCTCAGAACAAGGCTATACACCACTGACACTGAACAGAAGAAAGTGAGGGGGCCCCAACACCTGGCCACACCTGCCCAGAACCTCTCATGAGGGACATAGCAAAACACAGCCTAACTCTGTGTGATCCATCAGTCCTGAATTAGGAGTCCCCTCAGTCCTAACTTCGATCTAACAGGGTTTAGGATAACTCCCTCTGTTGACTTTAGGCCACTTTCCTTTAGATTAAAATCTCATATTCATGGGACACTGAAGGAGGAAGTGAAGGACAACACAGATAGCCACTATGTTCTGCTTCCTCTCATGGCTGACAGGAAGTGGCAAAGTGGGGCTGGGATTCCATCTGTTGTGATATGAGGTGTTCCCTCAGTCTTCATTCTGAGTCTTGCAAGGGAACAAGACTCAGGAGCAGGGGAAAATCTGGGCTCCACATGTTCTAGGCATCAGGGTTACTTTTTTCTTCTCTCAGAGTCCACACCTTAAAAGGAGTCAGAGCCTGGGATTTGTCCCTTTACTGACTTAAATGTGGTCCCCTCAGTCCAAATCTCTCACCTACCAGAGGCACAATGCCCCAGCCAAAATAAGAGTGTTCTCAGTATGAGAGCCCTGTCTTGTGTCTCTCAGAGCTGAAAGTAGAAGTGGGGAAGATTTCTGTGAGGCCCAAATTTGTTCTAGAGTAGAATTTACCCTCATTCTTCCCTCATGATCAATGGTACATTGACTCAGTGTAGTGTCTGAATGCCCTTGCTCTGCTGGCCATATCCCACACCCTTAAGTGTAAGACCCTACCTGTCAAATTCCCAAGAGCAAATAAAGTAGTAATCTCAATGGGAAAGCTATTCCAGAAATCCTAGGGCTGAAAGCAAGTGTAGGTTTCTGTGGGCTCCTCATTGTTGTGGGGCCCAGGGTCCCCACAGTCCTACCTTTGAGCTGTACCTTGACTGTGGCAGGTGCTGGGACCATCCACTGAGAGCCTGAGAATCCTTATATTGTACAAAACCCCAGGGTCTCTGAAACCCAGATACAGAAATAAGGAAACGCCCCCTGTGGTCATCCTCCTTGAGGCCTGATGCACTGACTCTGTTGTCTCATTCAGGTTTCTTCAGTCTCCCTCAATGTCCTCACCTTGACTCTGGGAAGCCTTTCTGCCCTCTCCTCTGAAAACCAGAAGCCCTACTCTTGATCCGTGTTCCCAGACTAAGATCCATTGTGGAAGTCAGGACAAACTGCATGTGATCATCTGTCATAGGGTCTCCCGTGGCTGAGAGCAGTGGTGGCTTCTGTGGGTTTCCCTGTTGTGGGATCCAGGGGCCTCACCTTATTTCTGGCAGGTCTTGACCCTACCCTATGCCAAGCTGAGGTCCCTCTGTAGAACTAAGATTCAGCGCTTCACGGGATGCGGTCAGCGTCTGTAAGACCAGGAGAAAGAACTCAGGAGATAATGCCTTGTGTGGTAATTCAGTTCCCACCCAAGACTCCCAGGACTGACTCTGTTCTGGCTTTCAGGGTCCCTCAGTCTTCCCTCAGGATCCTCAGCCTAACTGGCAGGTTCTGACCCTGCCCTCTGCCGATTTGGGGTCCTACTCCTTACAACAAACCCTCAGAGTCTTTTGAGACCTGGTTGCAGGAAGTACAAAAAGTCCCCTGCAGTCATCCTCCCATCAGGCTGGCCCGGTTGACCGCGGCAGATCCTAAGCCTGCCCTCTGCTGATTTGGGGTCTTAATCCTTATGCCAAACCCTGAGATTCTCTCAGACTCAATGCACAAGTAAGGAGACTCAGCGTGTGTCCCTCGCACCCTGGGGACTCCCAGGATTGCGTCTTCTGGGGCTCAGAGTCCCTCCATCCTGCCTCAAGGTCCTCACTTTGACTCTGGCAAGTGCTGGGCCCACCCTCTTCTTATCTGGGGTCCTACTCCTTATACCAAGCCCCCAGAGTCTCTGAAACCCCGATGCGGAAGTAAAAAAACGCCCCTTGTGGTCATACTCCCGTGAGGCTTGACGGATTGACGCGGGCAGATCCTGGGCCTGCCCTTTGCCGTTCTGGGATCTTAATCATTATGCCAAACCCTGAGATTCTCTCAGACTCAATGCACAAGTGAGGAGACTCAGCGTGTGTCCCTCGCACCCTGGGGACTCCCAGGATTGCGTCTTCTGGGGCTCAGAGTCCCTCCATCCTGCCTCAAGGTCCTCACTTTGACTCTGGTAAGTGCTGGGCCCACCCTCTTCTTATCTGGGGTCCTACTCCTTATACCAAGCCCCCAGAGTCTCTGAAACCCCTATGCGGAAGTAAAAAAGCCGCCCCACTGTGGTCACCCTCCCGTGAGGCTTGACGGATTGATTCTATTTTGGGTTCCTTGCTCTGTCAGTCTTCTTCAGTTTCCTCACTTTGACTGTGAGTGGCTTTTTTTCCGTCCTCCCCTCAGCAAATGAGAAGCCCTACTCTATCCGTGTTCGCAGTCTAAGACCCACTGTGGAAGTCAGGACACTTTGCATGTGGTCATCTGTCATGCAGCCTCCCACAGTTTAGAACAGGTTTGGGCTTCTGTGGGTTTCCCTCTGTTGTGGGGTCCAGGAGCCTAACCTTGTTTCTGGCAGGTCCTGGCCCCACCCTCTGTGGATGCGAGGTCCTGCCCCTTAACAAGAATACCAGAATCTCTAAGGCCAGAATTAAGTCAGGAAGCACCGCTGTTTGTGCAAGTAGTCTGCATCCTTCTGCCCAGGATTCCCAGGACTGCCTGTGTTTTAGGTTCCAGGATCCCTCAATCCTCCCTCAGGGCCTTCACCTTGACTTTCCCATGTTCTGGGCTTTCCCTCTGTACGTCTGAGGTCCTGATCCTTATACTGAACCCCCAGTCTCTTCAGGCCTTTGTCAGGGTTCCTGACTTTTGGCAGCTACTGGGACTCATTTCTTTGCTGATCTGGGGATGCACCCCTCTACCGAGCTCCATTTGCCTAAGATCTGCACCAGTATTTCCCTGAGAGAAAGTCAGGGGCCTCCAGGAACTGACTGTAGGAACAGGGTCAAGCTGGAACCCCTCTTTTCTGGTTTAGGAGGTTCCCTCAATGCTTTTAAAAGATTTTCACCTTGAAATCTGACATGGCCTGAAACTCTTTTTTTCTGCTGACCTGAGTCCCTCTATTTCCACCTCCCAGGCAGAATGAGGTGGCCCCTCCACCTGTTGCTCCACTGCGATCTCTCAGGGCAGTCAGGAGTCTCCTAGGGGATGGAGTGGAATTCTCTGGGTCCCCTTGGGAGGGTGGATCCCTCAGTCCCCATTCATGTTGGTCCTCATCTTGTTTACTGGCTCCTGAAATAAATGCTGGTCATGATCTTCCACCTCCCTGTAAGCTCTAAGCATCTTTCCAGCTGCAACCATTGCAAAGAATGACTCTGGGTCCCAGACTAGGTGCTAGACAGGGAGCTTCACTGCCCTTGACCATAGAGCAGGGTCAGAGAGGAAGCATACCTTCCAAAAGGGTCTCTTCACCAGCCAACAGAGTTCAGAAACATTTTGTTCTAAAACAGGGGTGTCAAATTCTTTTTCACCAGTGACCACATCAGCCTTGCTTTTGCCTTCAAAGGGCCAAATGTAATTTTAGGACCATATAAATGTAACTACTACTTAACTAAGGACAAGGAGCTTAGTGCTGCTGTTGGGAAGAAGAAACAAGGTGAAGGGCCGGATTCGGCCCTCAGGCCTTGTTTGGCACCTGTATTCTAAAAGATTTATTTTCTACACAGGCACTGAGCAACAGGATTTGGGGTGTTCCTTCTGTTTCAAACTTATCATTTTGGTTTTCACTTTTCTAACCCTCATTCTTAGTAAAATATATATTTTACATCTCTACCAATTATATATTTAGTATATATAATATAATATATAATACATAATATATAATATATATTTAGCATATATGATATATATGTAATTTCATGAAAGAATACCTATACTTAATATGTGTGGATCACTCTGGTACTTCTATTTCCAGTCTTTATCTTCTATTAAAACAATTTTTAAAGGTCAGTCCTCACCCACTTGTCAAAAGTTCAGGAATTACACCCTGGATGGTGTGGCTTAGTGGATTGAGTGCTGGCTTGTGAACCAAAGGGTTGCCGGTTCAATTCACAGTCAGGGCACATTCCTGGGTTGCAGGCCAGGTCCCTAGTGGGGGTTACACAAGAGGCAGCCACACATTGATGTTTCTTTTCCTCTCTTTCTCCTTCCTTTCCCCTCCAAAAAAATTAATAAATTATTTTTTTAAGTTCAGGAATTACAGAAGTAAAACCAGTGAATCACCAAAATAGTAATCAGTGAAAGTTTATTGTGCACACACCAAAAAGGAAGTTTATGAACCAGGAGCATTCAAACCAAACATGGAATGAGATTGAGTGTGGGGTAAATGGAGGCAGTCTGGCTTGCTCACCCAGGTGTCTGGGTAAATAAGGGAAGCAGTTTTTCCATACCCTTGAATGGGCTTGATAAGTAGT